AAATAGCCCAGTGCAGGACACCTGCTGCATCTGACTTAATGGCCAGTGGTTTTTAGCAACAGAAATCTGGCTTTGGGAAGGTTGTTAACCACTGGACAGCCCCGCAGCCTGTCTTTCAACTTTTATATGTATTTACAGCTTGTTTTTCCAACAGGTATTTATTGTGAAGTGTCGTGTCTAGATTAAGGTCAACTTCTGCAGACAGTGTCTCTTCTTAGCATGCACATAGAAGCTGCTTTTAGTTATTCAGCCTGATGCCATTAATTTCGCCCTTAAGTGTCATTCGGTGATTTCCATTCATGTTTTTTTAAACATTTCATTACTGGTCAACTCAGAGGCTGAGTAAGTAAGCACTGGGTTTGAACATATGGGAAAAACTGACCCTTGCTGCCAAGCAGTTAAAGTATTAAAGTGCATAAGCCATTTCCTGTAACAGTTGTCAAGCTAATTTTCAGTAAATTACTTAGTCCATGTGTTTATTATTCAGATATAAACCCACTGACTCAGCATGAAAATGGCATTACACCGCTGTAATCACAGACTAATTTTTTACAACTACAGTCACTACACCCCCAAATTGCATCCCTCTAACAAGACTCCTCCGAGTTCAGAAACAGCAGCTTTCGGACAAGCATATTCACACTGCATTGCACCATCCAGTGATGAGGGTAACATTAACGGGCACTGTTGCTGCACGCCTCTGTGTAAATCCACAAAAATAAAAATGTTCTTTAGCAAACAATGACTTACTGTGAAAGAATGCACTTAAAACATAGAATGAAATTTAATATAAAAGAAAATTACTATCATCTTCATGGCAGACGGTTTCCATATTGAAAGATAACACACTTCTGGAGCTCTTGAGTGTCAAACTCCCCTCCTCTCCACCCAGTGCGTGACAGCCAGTCTACAACCAGAAGTATTGGAACAAAGGACACAGTAGTGCCTATAGATGCATAATTTTCTCTCTCTGATCATTTCTAGCTTATGTTTAGATTTTAAGTGGTTTTAGAAGACGAAGGTGTTAAAAAACGGAAATAATTTAGAAACCTCCGAAGGTCAACACCTGCTAGGAAATTTTAAATTCAAGCTGACTTTGCATTAGCCCCACATCTTATGTTGTGATTAAGTTGTAGATTGATCCCTTGTATCCTGGCAGTGCTCTTGCTGGAGCCTGTGCTGAATATATATTAATCTAAGATACCACTTCACCGTCTCTGGTTTCTACCAATAAGAAATCACATTCTTGGCTAGTTTTATAACACAGGTGCCCTACACTGCTATTTCTGGTTTTGTCGAGGAAAGCGAAGTGAGAAGTGGAGAAAGTACAAGACATCACTCTGATTTGTTGTTATTGGTTTTTACCATTTAAAAATAACATTGCTATTAATCAGGTAAAAAATACATCATACAGGTTTCACTTTTAATTATTTTAGAGAAACCATGCTCAACTGATGTTATAATTGAAGAAGAAACAGCAAATCAACTCATAGGACCATGAGTGTATGTTTGCTGTCAACAGAAAGACTCCCAGGGATTTCAATTAATATTAGATTGCAGTCTTCATATTTACATTTAAGAGTATTCCCCTCTGTGTCCTTATACAAATTATTAGCCTATTCAAGTTCAATAAAAGCTGAGTGTAAGATGAAAAAATATGCATTAAGTATCTGACAGACAGTGATTAAAGAAACACAATTTTGAGGGCTGTCACTCTGATACTTCTCTCTGGCTTTTCATCAGGGAGACAGTCCCGCTCAGTGCCTGGTCATTTTGTATTCGATCACTTGATGCGTCAAATAGAACCAGAAACCTACTTCTCTGCTTTCAAATGATCATGTAAGATAGAAAGGTATGACAAAGAAACGATCTTTCAATATGCAGCAATTCTGAAAAAAACAAAAAAAAACCAACAAAAAAACAACCAACACAAACACAAACACAAAAACCAAACCAAACAAAAAAAACCACAACACAAAAAAAAAAACATTGTTGATGTCCAAATATTTAAATATGCACCTGCTTCTCTCCCACTATCTTCCTGAATTTTCTAATTCACAAGAGCAAGTTAGTGAAAAGCAGTAACTAGTGATGAAATGCTTTATCTGAATAAAACACATTGTTCCAGTAAGTAGCATTTTCCTTGCTCTTTAGAATGCATAGCCTTTATTCCACATATTAATCAAATAGCTGCTGTTTTCCAGTAATTCAAACTAGTTATAAAAGTATATTAATTTAATGTATAATCCGTGGTATAAGATAAATGGGTTCCACTCAGTTGCCTTTGCATGAAATCAGACTTTTCTGACACTTTAAAATGCTTACGGTGGACTTGAAGAAAGCTATGTAACTGGTCTGAAGCAGAAAAAGCTATACAAATGCATGAGTAGTGGCACAACTGCCTTGACCCACAACGTCTTTTGTGAAACACAGGAAACAAATATTAACGCCAGACTACATGCAAAGCCAGATAGCAGATCCCTAGTTTAAACCACTGTTCCTGCAGACCTCTTTTATGCTTAAAAGTTCTTGCCTTAAAATATGAAGTGTGATAAATTATATAATCATTCAACATTTCCTACATCCACCCATTTACATGATTTAGAATATCAGTGTAGTACAATAGCCCATATACCCCAAAAGATCTCAAACAGATTAATGAATGTTAGAAACTGAAACAATTTGTGTTATGGTCACAATAAAGACAGTATAAAAAATATCTTTGTAGCACTTAACTCCATGTAAGGTAATTTTTTTTGACCTTTTCGCAGCTGTACTTATTTTTTAAAAGGAAAAAATATGCAATAAAGTACAATAAGTATTTTCAATTTGTTTAAAAAGTTAGCAAGACTTGGACAACTAGAACATAGGTGTGCACTACTAAACATTGTTATCAGCTGACAAGGTTTTGACTAGTGATGGGAAGTTCAAAACTGCATGACCGACATAACTCTCTAGTTCTGAACTCTGAGATACAAAATACCCTTCAAAGGAATACAGCAAAGAACAAGAAAACCTTTCAGACCTCTCACTGGAAAACTGAGAGCTCCAGGGGAACTCAGAGATGTGAAGTTATGAAAAAATGCTGAAGATCTGTTTATCAGTTCAAACTGCTGCGAAGTATCATCCTGCTCTGGAAAATGACTTATTAAAAAAATGAAAAATAAATAATGGCAGATTCTTTACCATTGAGGGATCATAGGTGTTATCAGGCAGCAGCTTCACTTTGGGAACACAAACCATGAGACTTGGAGGAGAACAGTGTCTGTCAAATAGCTCAGCATGCACCATACAGTGCCGTGCACACTGTAGCTGCTCTACTCGCTTGAACATCAGAGGAGCAAAGCTGTGAATTTATCTCCTGTGTTTTTCACAAAATGGTTTTAGACATGTACTGGAGAGCAATAAAGAACTTTCTTTAAGTTGTCTCATGTACTGGGACTGCTACTCTTTCTGCTTTTTTCTGAGCTATGAGATGAAGCAGAAGTCTTCTTTCAATGTCCATCCCACATAAAGGGCAGGAATAAGTTCTTAATGATTGCTACTTTGCTCAGTTCAGGCAATTTCTGCCTTCAACTGCATTCTCTAAAACTTCATTGATGCTCATGCAAATGTACAAAACGTGAGAGCTGAATGAGATATTACTTACTACAAGTTAATCTGGACTCCAGTTCAGGAACTCAATAAGCACTATGAAAACTCTCCTGAAATTAAAACTTAAAACTTCCCTGACTAGAGTTTCTTTAACTTGCCAGCTTTCAAACCTTTGGATCTGAAAGCTGTACTAGATTCCTCCTCACTCAGGCATAGGAAGCAGTCAAAAAAGGCACTTTGTTCCAAATCTTGTAATTCGCACATGTGGAACAGAGAGAAGAAACTGATTCTTTGATCTAAATTTAATTAAACACTTTTCTCATTGACGTGCGAGCTTCTTCTTTCCTAACAGTTCATTCACTGGCTAAAAAGTGATTGCTTTTTCCAGTCATTATCAGCTTTCACAGCACTGCTAACAAGGCTCGACACAGGAAAACACGCATTTCAGTGACCAAAGCCGACACATATGAGTGCAAAAGAACATTGGCATCAGATTTGTTAAGGAAGGAAATACTTCATCAGTTTTCAAAGTAAAACCACATTCTGAGCTTTAAATTGACGTAGAAGAGCCAGTTTTGGTGGAATTATAGGGCTCTCCAGAAATGCTAAATATTTGCCATGAAAATTTCTCTCCCAACTGTTTTCATTCAAAGCCACAAAACATTCTGTGCGCACTTCCATAGGGATCTACAGGACTTGAGCAATGAAAACTTGCTGTGAATAGCAATGGTTACAAAAGAAGCCTCCAATCCACAGCCTCCTTTACGCTGGAATGGTGGTGGTTACTCTCCACAACTCAGTCCAAATTTTGGAAGAAAAGAAGGGAGTCATGGAAGTGCCAAACAGAATATGGTTTTTATATTTTGTAGGGATTCTGAGAAATTTGTTCTTATCATTCATTGCAGTCAACATTTGCAGGATAAAATCTGCTGTATGCATACCTTGAGTCTTATCTCCCTACTTTGGGGAAGAAGGTTTTACTTTCTTCAAGTTGAACAAAAAGCATAGACCTTTTCTTCAGATGCTGCTATAAAGAAGACAACAGCTCAGCATGGAACTGTTAGATATTGTCTTCACAACTTAAAAATTTCAGGAACAAGTAATCTCAATTGCTTTTAGTGTGGAATCTGGAATCCTATTTACTATGTGGAACTAGTAAGGTCTTCAAAAGCAACCTCTGACAACTAAACATTACTGACGTGAAAAGAAGGTTTTCAAGCTCTAGACCCTTATTATCAACATCGCTTTCCTAGTCCCATCCATGGATCAACTGATCTCCATGACACTATCACACCGGAAAACTGAAGTTATTGAAAAGAGAATCAGAACCCAGAGGTAAAACCTTCCAATCTATAGTTTGTCCAAAATATAATCAATTAATTAATCAGAAGTGTTAAAAAACTTACCTTTAAAATTTGGTCTGATTCTAGCATCATACCCTGATGTCCTTCCCATCAATTTGTCCAAAAAATCTGAAGGAGACAGGGTCTGTGAGGGGGATTTTCCAGATCTTGAATCATGTTCTTTACAGAAAGTCGTCCTAAATAAATTATTAGCCACCATTAGCTAATATTTAGCTTGTATTGTATTCAAGTCATGGAGAAATTATAGCACTAAATAAAATTGTCTCAATTCAGTGTATGTAGCAATTAATATTTTTATAGAAAAATAAAGTCTATTTTTCATCTGAAAACTTTAGAAATAAAAATGAACTTAAGGTAGTATGCACGGACACGATTTGCTATTCAGAAAAAGACTTCAGCTATAAAAAGAAATTCATTACAGCTTTAAGACTTTAGAAGATTCAATTTACTCTTCCTCTTAATGTGTAGAGGAATCTTTCAGGGACTTTGATATCCTATTTCATACCATTGCTTTAATTACATGTGTGCTGTTAAAACTATATGTTAATACTGATTTAAAATGGTCTTAAACTTCCAAACAATAGCTAGCAACACTCACAAAGCAACACTGAAAAATACTGGTTTTGTTCATGTTGGGAAGGATGTAGGTGGAAAAAAAAAAAAAATGGTCTTTACCGATGCCACCCAACAAAGATTTAAATCAGGCTAGTGAGTGTCTGGATTCTTCCTCAGCATAGAAAAAGAGGGTTCCAGAGTCAGTCACATCTGATCTTAGGGGTTTTTTACCATTGAACATCAAGTAATAAAATGTAACAGTATTGTTACCAGCTGGTAATTATATGCAAGCTCTTGGAACACATCTGTTTTCAGCATTTAAGAGCAAACTTCAGGTACCATATCATGCATGTGAAACACTGTGTACATAGTATATTACATATTGCAAGCACATTAAATATTGCAGAGAAAAAGAATTTAGGAGTTTCCCATAGTTGTTCCCTAGGGAAAAAGAAACTAGAATGAAATGGTAATATTTGATGTGTAGAAGCACAGATTTCATCGTAAAGCATTATTTTCATTCTTAACCAATTTTATTGTATCTATGTTTCAACATAATCTTTGAGCTGTATTAAAAGTAATTCTACGATTGCATCTTCATAACCACTCTCTGTTTAAATATTTGCCCAAAGGGAACCACTGAGTTTCAGGAGTGTTTCATGGGGTTTATTTGTGCATCTATACACAAGCATAAACAAATCAGATATATATGTGAGCATCTGAAATGAGAAGCAAATATCAAATCATTTATCCCTTTACAAAAGCACCAGAATTATTAAAAAGCAAGGTAGTAATAAATTCTCATGGTGTGATTCTCCACATTTTTTCAGGTTCCTGTTACAGGGGGCGGTTGCTTCCTTTTGCTTTTATCAATGACATGGTACCGTTACAAAATATCTTTCATTTTTAATATGTAATAGATGATACTCCCTACTTAAACGCTAAAAACATTCAGCTAAGATAATAAAAACTGGAAAAATAACCCAGTGCATTTATTTGGGATGTTTCTATACAAATTACTTCTGTTTTCTTTAAGAGCCCACTAGTTACGAGTTGCATCGTGACCCCAGACTTATGAATAAAAACACTATTTAACTCTGTCACTGTGTATATACCTTATTACTCATATAAAAACACTTTATATATGTACATGTAGCAACAGAGCAGCGTACAGTATAATAATGAATCTCAGCTAAAATGGTGTTTCGGTTAATAAGGCTGACCTGTTTGCTTTGTACTGCAAAAAGTCAATAGCTGAAGCAAAAGCTCATGAAACGTTTTAAAAAATTATAAACAACAACCGTAGGTACTGGTAATTTAAGTGAGCACAATACTGGTCTGATCCAGGGTTTTCCCAAAATCAGAGTACTGATTCTCCAATTGAAAATAACTACATCCCTGACAAAACTGGTTCAATCGTTTCCAAAGCTTGAAGAGGAGGGAACCAAAGCAACTTCCTAAACAACCTCTGGTGGGAGTAGAGAATTGGCATTTCAGAAGAAAAACTGATGACAATGTTTTTAGCTATATTGATACTCAGTGAAAAGACATGTCTTTGAATCAGAGAAATGGAAAATAGATCACCCAAACTTGAGATTATTATTTTTTGTGTTTGTTACCAAGCAACGAGTCTCCGAGTGTAAAAGGGATAGCCTATATAGAAAGAACATGAAATAGTCTGAAATATAGCAAACAAACTAGATTAATGTGACGTAGTATCTTTATAGTTATGGTTTCCACAACCTTTTGACAAATATCATCACATAGAGTCATATCACCTACCTGAAGTGGTTTGTCTCTAAGAAAAACGCAAACAAGGTTGTCAAAATTTTCACTAGCTGCCGGTTCATTCCTCCTGCTTTCTGTGATGATTTGGAAAATATCCCAGAAACGATTCCAGAGAGATGCAGGGAAAAAGTAAGCTGGTGCTGCCTAGATTCCCAAATTCAGCAATAATTTAATTTTCTTGGCAATTAAGAAGAGAAGGTCTGGATCTCTACAAACTGGGGGTAAAAAAGAAGTGCCAGTCCTTGGAATCATGGTCAGGTCAAGCCTAGGCTCATCTCCAGCAGGCAGTACAAAAGAGACAAAGCATCAGACCTGGTCGTTCCTCTGCCTCGCTTTTGGTGATGGAGGAAGGGGGGG